TTTTGTGCATATATCAGTGAATTTTCTGCAGAGTATGAAGCAAATTCCTTTAAATTTTTTAAAGAATCCCCGCACCAACGTCCTCTCGTAAAAAATAAATACCTGAGTAAAAGTTGGCAATAGCGGATGTGGCTTGGTTCCTTTCTACTAAGAAAGGTCTGGTTTCGGTCCAAGTAATATTCGAAGACTTCTAGGGCGAGTTTGCTTAAATTGACGTAAAAACCCCGTAAAAGCCTAAACCTAAGATTAAATCGCTGAGAGTAAAATGGACCGTCAAACCGCTGTATAATTATAATTCTGCCGTGCTAAGGAAAAACGCCGTATGAACCTTCAGGCGTTGCCAAATTTCTTTCGGTATAACACGAATTTCCTGGTAAACTTATGAATATTTTCCTTCCAATTTTATAGAGTATTTTGTTGAGTAGTTGTTGTAATTATATCCATAGTTCCTGAAAATTTCAAGGAAAAGTATTCATAACTCCTCTCAAAAAAGAACATTTTATCAAAGAAAATCTGGCAACTTTCGAATGCTCATACGACACTTTTCCTTAGCACGGCAGAATTCTACTGTATGAGACGCTAATTTTTTCTTAAGAGCCTCGGAAAAGTCTGAGACCAGTGATATTTGATTGCTAGTCACCTTTAAATCCCCATTTAGATTTGAACTTCTACGTTTGGTCGGTATACTTCGATCTTGACTTTGTTTTCACCACGGGCCCCGAGGGCAGCGGCTGAAATCCGCATCAAACGGATTATCCGAAACGGAGATCCTGGCTCGGCAGTAATGAGGATTAAACAACATTTTAAAATTTTTAATCCGCGCAACCTCCAGGTTTCCCAGCTCGAGGGCGCAAGGCCTTTCACGGTTAGTTCTTGCGCATGTGTGTGTGTGTATGTAAGTGGGGGGGGGGGGTTTAGAAAATGAGAACTTAACTTGATGAAGAATTCACGCATTCACTTGTATTTAGTGATTTATCGTTAAAACGTTTCTCTCCCCATTTATTAAGCGCTGAGTTCATCTATAGCCACGAAGACTTTAACGCAAGGCTAGAAAAGTAAGCGATACGTTCCGAAGAGGAAAGGTGGTACGGGTACATAGCCTTTCGAGGAATGTTTTGAGAAGGAGGAAAACGAGTAAATCAATGAATAAATCAATTGAAACCACGAATAAAAATGATCTGGGTCCTTCAAAGGGTACCGTATTTTGTTGGCTTGATAACGAGGAAGCAAAGACAGCTGTAAATCAAGAAATGATGACACTTTCAAAGCTAATCTTTACTTTTAAAAATCAGCAAACGCTTAAAGAAAGAAAGTTTTACGAAACATTAGACCTGGCTCATCGATTTATTTCCGTCAATTTTTCCTCCTTATTAACTAGAAAAGCGCATCTCGCGTGTTGTTGTCATGAAATAAGAAAAATTACCGGAACACACAATAAATGCAACGCATTCAAGTGCATAATAAAGTATAACATACAGTGGCGTAGAGTGTGCTTTGCGATATTTCGATATTTCCCCATTTGAAGCTATGGTAAAAAATCGATTATTAAGGTGTTCGTTGCGAACATTCTGTATATTGATCCTTTTCCATCGGTTTAAATGGTAGATAAATCGATACATCGCAAAGCACGCCACGCTACTGATATCATAAACATTGCGTGTTTTGGTATATTTTCTCATTTTTCTCTTAAACCTTAACCTTAACCTTTTTTGCCTCTTTGATCACCCGCGCTAACCAAGAACTTTCTCCCACATCACTCGAGTTTTCTCAGCGCAAAATAGGCTCTCCATTATGAAAGCCGTTCCAGATTTCACCCCAAACTCTATAAAAGTGCATAATTTGAATGGCAACCGCGCAATCAAAATTAAAACGACGACCAACAGCTGAGGTATCATCCTCCGATTAACATGGTCGCGGGATTATCAAATGAAGAGAGCCACTTTTATTTTCATTTCGTGTAAACGAGCCAGCGGCTTAATGTCCAAATCCAAAGTCGTCAATGGCGTCACTTCTTCGTTAACCGCTGCGCATGGCTTACGTCCACTTAAGCATCAGTCGTATCCCTCTTTATACAGAGAGGATTTGAGGTAATTTACGAAAATGGCGGTAGCCAAGATTACCGAAAGTAAAGCTGATCCTGTGCCTCAATTCGGTATTCTGTGTCTCTCATCATGGGTTTGTTTTCTCTTCTCTTAACGCGCGGCGCTTTGAATTCCATTCAACTAATGCGACAGTCCAAAAAGAAAATATCGTTCGACTTTCAAAACACTCGGTTTCTTTTGCACCAACGAAGATAGAAACGCAGAAGAAAATCCCTTATTTAGAGGGTCTTAAGTGTACCGGTTTTTCTTAATCGCACTGTGAATTCCCTTTTTACAAAGTGGCCGTAAGAGGCCGAGAGGCACTTTGTAGTGTTAGAAACAAAGCAAGTTTTTATGCAAAATTAGATCCTCGTAATGTATGTAATGGGCAGAAGAAATCCTTTGGGCTCTTCAAAATTTCTGATGGGAAAAACACCGGAAATCTGTTGGGTTTGAGATGTTTGTACCAGGGGTCATCCGTAATGGAAGTTATTACTTTTTTGAAAATCCAATAAAAAAAATACTAAATAAACTTCATTTTCAAGGCGCTCGATCTACAGTCGCTCAAATACGTGTGACATAAAACAAAATGTCTATCAAATATATGACATCTCATGTCCCCATGCCCAGGAATCCCCTCCCACCCTCCCGTAATCTAGAAATGGAATGAATGTAGATGCAAAAATTTGCATTTTATGTTGTGTAAGATCTCTCGTCAGGAAGATGCTGTACAAAGCAGCCCATTCCTCCGCGATCTACTTTTTTTTTTTTTTTAAATAAGTTGCTGTATTATGGTAATAATTTGAGACCTCATGATTTTGCGTTTTTAAAAAGAGCCCATCTATTTGCGAAATAATTTGAGTCACATTCTGTCACTGTACAACAAAGTAGATTCCGGTCGTTGAATCCTGGAAATTAAAAGTTCACTGGAAAAAAAGTCGCTTGGATTTAGGATCCAGACTCTTAAACCCATTGACAAGAAAAAATACTATTGATTCAATCGGATTTTTCCTTGAATCGAAGAGCCAAGCCTCTTGATTTCAGCGGATTTTCTTTTGATTCAAGGAAAAATCCGATTGAATCAAGAGTTTTTTTTCTTGTCAATGTTTTTAAGAGTCTGGACTCTAAATCCAAGCGACTTTTTTCCAGTGTACTCGCTGTTAAAGAGATGTTTGTAAGAGACTCTATTTGTCTTTGTTTAGGGCCTACGGAGAGTTTTGCGATTTTTTCTAGCGGCCGTTTAGTTGACTCGCCGATACTTTCATCATTTCCTGATTTCAAAGCTCTCGGTCGGTAGCCGGCACGAACCAGAGCAAAAAAGCCTAGCAGACGACGATCCTGGCGGGAAGTCTAGCTGCTTCGTGGCTAAACTTTAATAGCTACGTGAAAGGCACAATCAAAATAGCGAGCGGCCTGTACGCGACTCCATTGCGCTCACCGGAGGACCATCCGTTGCCACTGTTGCATAATTGGCAAAACTAAGGAGTTTTTTTTTCACTCTTACTGCTCACTTTTTAACCAGATTTTCCAGTTATATGTTATCATTCAGGGTGTCTACAAGTCCGAAATTAACGGAAAGTACGGAAATAGTACTGATTTTTTAAGGGCGGTCCGGAATTACTGAAAAGGAGCGGGAATTCCGCAAGAAAGTCCGGAATTTTTTTCTTTTTTATCGCAATTTGAGCGAGGAATTCAAATTTTTGAAATTTTTTGAATTTCGTCAATTGGAGGTACTGAAAAAGTATTGAATTTTTCTGTTAAGGAGGCACTGAATTTCTTGGGAATGCACTGTAAAAGTACAGATTTTTGGCCAGCCTGTTTTAGTAGACACTCTGTCATTACTTCAGTTGTCTGACTTCCCAAATTTCAATTTGTTTTCTCAATTATATCTAGAATTCTACCGGGCGAATTATGAAAACTTCGTTGAATGGGTGAGCAGTAATCCCAATTTTTGGTCGAAGAGTGAGCTTTTCAACTTAAGAAATCAGAAAAAAAAATCATTTGTAATCGTCTGAGGAAGAGGATCAGATTTCAAAGTTCGCAACTTGGCAAGACTGGTCCTCGAGATCATTAAGCAAGAGATGAATCAGTCGATGTTAAAGCCTAACGAGTTAATTTCATGATGAGCCTAGAGGTAAATATGAATGCTCAAATTCCAGGGTTCATCAGATGGTAGACTTGTACGGTTTTTTACACCGAACTCCTCAGGCATCGCCGCACCAATGTTAGCTTTGTCGATGTCACAAATTGCTCTCCTACGGTTCGGACCATCACGGTCGCGTGGAAAATTATTTTCGCCCGCCATGAAATTTCTCTCCAAGCATCGGGATGTTGTAATAATTGCAATTTTTTATACCAAGGAGCCGTATCACTCTTCGAAGCTTATGATTTTAATGCCTTCGTCTCAATGGTCATTACGGCTGGGCTCTTTTTGAGAGCTTGAACTTTCTTTGGTCCAGACACCACTTTCATTAGATCCAATCGTTCGTAGATCTCAGTGAGAGGCGGAATCGCTCTTCCTATTCGCCGAAAAGTGAAAGAAGTGGGCTGGGAAAATAATAAAAATTTTAAGCTCAATCAAGCTACTTTTGCCAATTTTTATCCAGGGTTCGTCAAAACATTTAAAATGTGATAAGACTCTCGTAAAACGACTCTTAAGAGCAGTCTAAATGTGTAATTGGATATTTCAGGGGGCGCTTACATCTTAGACCTTTTACTAGCACTACATTCTAGCCATTTCACCTTATTGTGGTAGCCATTGGATCTCCTGTGACATATATATGACTGGGATCCAGGACATTTGTTTATTGATAGAGCGCTACCGTTTTTATTCTTTTTTTAGCCTAAGTATCAATGATTGTAAAATCATCACGTTTTGAAGCTAAAATTGCTGATTTTGTTTCGTTTATTTTGTTGCAGGGTACTGCGATGTGCAACTAGCGACCACTCCAGAACCGCGACTCAAAATGAGTCCAAGCGACGCCGCAAGCACATCAGGTGAAAAAGTACCGTAAATCATGGCACGACTGATGCATAGCCCCGACGGGCAGACCAAGGGGGCAGCAGGGAAGTCCCTGGGGAGCGAGACTCCCCCCGAGAAGGTTGCCCCGCGGTTCAGAGCGGTCAAAGAGTGCCCCAAACGACGACCGAGCTTCAAAACCCGCGGGCTAGCCTCAGCGACCTCTAACGGGGGCCCACGAACCTACCGGGCCACCAAAATCACCATATGCTCGAGCAACGTCGCAGCGCTCGCCTCCAAGTTCAACGCGGTCATCGTCCAGGATGACGTCAAAGGCCGGGCTTTCGTCAAGAAGCTCCAGAACCCCCACCGCAAACCCCTCAAAACCACCAAGGGCTCCGTCAAAGCTGCCATAGAGATTTTCGAGAACAAAAGCGAGAAAGCCTCGAAGAAGAGCGGCGACCGCCCGAAAATCGTCTTGATCCGCAAAAACTCGTCCATAGCGCGTTTGGCGACCAAGACGACGTCGAAACCCCCCGCTAAAACCGGAAGATCTGATGTTGGGGAAGTTACAGCCCCCAAAAAACCAGCCCTGACCAGGAAGGGTTCCAGCAACCGCACCGAAAAACCGGTCTCGCCGGTCCTTCAAAAAACCAGGAAAAACTCGTGTAGCGATACTAAAGGTTCTCAATCGTGCGAGGAAATCATAAAAAATGCCAAGAATAGACTGAGACAAACTTTTATTCTAGAGGGAGGCTCAGAGGTCCGGACCGATAGAAGGATTCGTGAGATGAATAAAAATTCCGTCGACGTCCCGGACGGCGCCGAGAAGAAATCCTCGACTTTAAGCAGATTGCCAAAGAACTCCGACCGACTGGATATCGGGAAAGAGAATTATTTTAGGTACAAAACTTTGAGTTTGCCCAGCAAACCCGACTTGAAACCAAAACCGGACTTGGCGAAAATTTCCAAGGAGGAATCCGTCGACAAAGTCAAGGCCGACAGCACGCGAGAGCAAAGTTCGGAAAAGCTCATTCTCAACGAAAGCAAACGACCGCTCACGACCAAAGACCAGGACGTGAATGTCGATGAAAAATCCAGCGTTCCAAAATTCAAAATCCCCCCCAAGACTGATCGTTTGTATAATCTGGACGCGTCCAAAGAAGCGCAGAAGAATTTCAAACCGAACAATTCGTTCTTATGGAGGCAGTGCTCCTACAAGAAGGAAGAGACGATCAAGGAGGAAAACGAGATTGTTCTCAGCGTCACCTCCAAGTCCGAAAGTTTAAGTCGAGACGGCTCAACGCGGTCGTGCGAATCAAGCTCTGGAGTAAGTCGAACCGAATCGAATTCGGAACCAAACGATTCCTCAGAAGTAAAAGAACAGATCGTTTCGAACAAATCCTCTTTGCATTCCTCCCGGAAACTACTCACGCAAACCAGCACAAGTAGCACCAGCTCCGAGGACAAAAAGGAAGAACAGGAACCACTCCTGAAACCTCTCACCGTCCCCGAAAAAACCAACCAGGAGTACCTGAAAACCAAGCTAACCTCAAACAGATCCGCCTTATATTCGTCGAACCTGATCAAAAAGAACGAGATCAACAAAGCCAGCTCGGAGTTGACGGTCAACAAAACCGGTCAAAAGTCGAGTAGTCTCTTCGACTTGAACCGGTCCTTGGGATGGAGTAGTTCGAAAGACTCGGGGATCGACTCCTCGAACGAGAGTCAAAGATTCTCGCTGCCCCAAACCGAGTTGACGCGGATGAACAACTCGGCTCTGGAGAAGACCTACTCGGAGAACCAAATCCACAACTCCAAAGACTCCGGCATCGACAGTTCTCTGGAGAGTCAGAGGTTCTCCTTGCCGTTGATCGAGGACGAAGAAGAGACCGAGAACAGCCTGTACGAGCACGAGATCCACGAATCCAAAGGCGGGCTCGAGGGCGACCACACGACCGAGTCCTGTCTCTACGAGGAGATCGTCTTCCGGAAGGACGACCGCGGCGGGAAAACCCGGACGGACTACTACGACAAGATCTCCATCGACAAGCTCAACATTTTGGCCCTGAACAAGTCCAAAGAGGAGGAGTCGTTCTACGACCAGATCGACAAGTTCGATCGGTTGAACCAGGACGATCACTACACGCTGATCAGCGACTACGAGTCCAACATCTACGACGACATCGTCCACGTCAAGGGGGCCGACGATGGGGACGCGTCCAACTGCTACGAGTCGATCCGCGAGGGGACGTTGACCAAGTCGTCGAGCCAGACCTCGGACTCGGATAGTTCTTGGGAGCATAATAATAGTCTCTACGCTCTTCGGCCGCCCTCGCTGCATTCTACCTCGTCGCTTTCCCTCAACTCAGGTAAGAGTCCCTTTATATTCGCATGTTTTTCATGAAATTCTATGGGATATACTGCCGTGCTAAAAAAAACTAATAAATCGAATTTAGGAAATTAAGAAATTTTTATCAAAATGATAATAACCATTTTTTCCACCTGGTGAAAATATTAGTGTAAATATTAGTTCGCTTTCAATGTGAATACACACTTATTTCCAGGGCCGGATTTATCAACTTTCCGCCCATGGGCCGCCTATATTTTGCCGCCCCCTTATCATTCGTTTTGAAACATCAATAGAAATTATCAAGTGAACGTGCCGGAGGGAGTGGGGTGCATTAGACGCGTTCATTCTTGTTGGACACATTATTTGCGGAAACCCTGTCAACAATACTAGCAAAAGTTCACAGAACTTAGCGCAAAAGTTAAGTTCCGTATAACTATCTTCGTGTGGACGAGGCCTTCCATTTAAAGAAATGAACGAAAAAATGATGAAAGAACAAACATAAACGTGATTTAAAAATTTTAACTTCCGCCGCCGCGCCGCGCTGACCGCAATGGGTTTCGCGCAATTCGTAAAGTATTCTTACAGTCTTGTAGGCGCTTTGCTTTTCACGCCGACCGCTCTGTGTTTGACGCAATGCGTGAAGTATTCGTGCAGTCTTGTAGGCGCTATGCGTTTCACGCCGACCGCTGCTGAGCGCACTGTGTTGAACGCAATGCGTGAAGTATTCATGCAGTCTTGTAGGCGCTTATATGTGTTACATGCTGATCGCCGCGCCGAGGGCTTCTCCTTTTCATCTCAAGTCCTCGTCATCATTGCTCTCTACGCCGCGCCGTTCCAGGCCAAATTAGAGTACCTTTATAGACAGAGTATGGCCATTTCTGTTCCGGTTTTTCATTGGTCGCGAGCGAATAGGCTGACACGATGCTCTTAGGGCCGTAAATAAACAAACAAGATGGCTGTTATCAGCAAGCAAGATTGAGGTTATGCACATCTTGCATCCTCCTGTGATAAAGGTGAAAGGCAATTTAACAATGTTTTCATGTGTTTTTCGTGTGCTGTTCGTAGATATGCTCGTTTAAATTGTTACTGCTGCATAATTGAAATTTTTGTCAAATTTAGCTTCTCATCGATGTTACGGTGAGCCGCCATCTTGTTTGTTTATTTACGGCCCTAAGAGCATCATGAAGCCTAAAAACTCGTTGACCAATCAAAAAGCGGAACAGTTTTCCTGTAGTAAAAAGATACGAATGGCCATACTCTGTCTATAAAGGTACTCTAGGCCAAATTGGGTGTTTGGTTTCTCTCTTAACTCGACTAATTAAAGGAGCTGCCTCTTATATCACCGAAAGATGACAAAATTAGAAATTACTATACTCTCAGGAAATGAGAGATTTTGTCACCTTTTCTCGTTTGTAATTTTTTTCTGAATCCGATTTTTTTGTACCTATATTTAAAAAAATTGCAAAATTTGCCGCCCCCTAAATTTGCCGCCATGGGCCGCGGCCCATGTGGCCATCCCCTAGATCCAGCCCTGCTTATTTCTCCGTAAAAAATAGGAGTATCAAGCTGACTTAGGAGAACGTGTTGTGGAAACTATCCCTCCAGTTGAGTTTGGATTGGACAGGCAACTAAACTAACTCCGTGACTAAGCGTGGAGTATCACACTAAATGAAGGCGCCTTGAACTAGGATCGTGCCGTTACCTATCAAACTAACCTTCATTATGTCGATGGAAATTATTGCGGTTTATCGAAGCAACATGTAGGCCGCTTGCAAATCGCCGGCGATTGCTAATTGCATGCGATGTGTTAAAACGATCTCTCTAACTTCTCCGCCGTGCTAAGAAAGAACGCCGTATGAACATTCGAGGCTTGCCGAGTTCTCCTTGATAAAACATGTATTTTCGACAACATCCATGCATTATTTACCTGATATTTTTAGATACTCTAGATTAATTTACTTACAAAAATATTTGAAAACTTCGGAAAATAACATTCACAATTTTCCCCGTAAATCTGGTTTTTATCGGAGGAAACTTGGCAACGCCTGAAGGTCCGTACGGCGTTTTTCCTCAGCACGGCAGTGTTACTGGGAGTACTCAGCTACGCTCGGTTAAATTATTTCGAAAATACCCACGGGTCTCTCTCTGTGAAATTCGATCTGCTTGTCAATTACAACGGCCCTCCAAAGATTCATTCGTGACCCTTTATCCCTGCCGCGATCGCGCTCCGGCGGTCGAGATTGGCACCGTTCCTGCGGCGTGAACCCGCAAAAAAAGGGCTAACCTTGGCATTCCTCCGGCGGCTCTCACCGATACTAGATCACTCTCACTTTCAGCGGCTCAGACAGCCGGGCGACGAACTGGACTTTTGAGCCGTCCGAATGCAAATGTAACGCGCAATTCGCGTGACGATAACGACAAAAAGCCTTCTTGGGCGATGCGACGCGACGGCTAACCGTTACGAAACGAGGGCCGGGATTTTGAAGACGTCCTGACCTTGCTGGGGTCGCGGCACTTTTTCGGACGCGAAAGAAAGTGCTGCGGGCCTGGGCGACAGGTGAGTGATCACTCTGTCATTGCCACTTGGCGGCGGATTTCCGGGGGCCGCCGCTTCGCGTTTGGCATCGGGTTTTGAGGGAAACTTGGGATTTTGGCTCGGCTCTGCTCGTGCATAAATTAACGCGCTGTCCGTGTCAATTAGCCGGCTGATTCTTTTTGAGAGGCGCGTGGTGTAGGTCTTGAGGCTTTTACCGTAACTTTTAAAGTGAACGATATCCGATTTTGAAGATTAAATTGGACCGATGACGGATTCAATAGGGATCAGCCTAATTCCATTAAATTCTGCATAATTTCCTCGCATTTCTCCTTTTTTAATAGAAATTTTGTGATAATGTGTTCAATTTTTATGAAACAATTCATTAAAAGTTTCAAAGCGTCATGAAATTTAGTTCTTTGTTAGATAAATTAATGAGACCTAAAAAGGAAAAAGACAGCTTACTTACTCCATTTAGACCACAATAAGTTGTTTCGCTCTGCTCAAAATCATGTGTTTTTATTTCAAGCGTGGTAGGAAAAAAAACCTTTTTTTTTAAGTTTAGGAGGGAGTGTGAACAAGCGTTTTAATTTTTTTGTTTATTATGAAGTTAAAAGTGTGATCCAGAAGTCTCGCTAATCTCCGAAAGCTTAAGTACTAAGTTCGTACAATAGGTTTGCAACTCGGAAGTAGAAAGTCAAACAAAGGCACAAAATCCATGCAGTTGGTATGACATCTTCTGTCGCGTCGTATCGATGTATCTTGGCTCCACCTGCGCACCGGAAAATGCGTCAAATCGTGATATTTTGCCACGATCAAATTACCCGAGCAGTGTTTATCTGGGAGAAAAATCAGCACGTAAGTGAGTAGTTTACAGTACTTACTTTTCCGAAACTCAATATCGTCGATAATTATTAGTCTGTGAGTGTGAGCAAGGTTTTCCCTATATCGAACTCTCTCTCTCTTTTCCCCTCATTCCACTGTTGCGTGGTCTGTCTGCGTAGCATTCTAAAAAGAAGTATTTTATATGCTATGCTATCTGCATGCGGACAGTTTGAAGTTCTATTATAAAGAACGTTTGCTCAATAATGTGAGGTCACACGAATAGTGGTTTGACACTTAAGATTGTAATAACTAAAGCTATTTTTTCATTCCACAGCTTTAATACAACATCGAAGCAGGTTTTTTTTACCAATATTGTGAGCATCTGTGACAATAGAAAAATTAGTCCTATCACTTTCGAAATTTGACTGTCAGCTTCCCTGCGTAAAAGGGTAATTTACAAATGTTTTGGCAGACGAAAAAAAAATGTCCAAAACTGAAAGAACCAAGCCGACGGATTAAAGTTTACAGTTCGAAAAGCGAGTTTTAAGAGAAGGTCCTAAGAAACATTAATCTGCCATGTTCCAACCACAAAATTGTCGGACTGTAATACAACTTATCCCCCCGGAAACCTGCTCGCATCTTGGAGGTACAAGGAATTTTTTTCCGTCAAATAATAAAATTCAGATTTTTTGGCCGCACAAGACAACAATCACTCTGCAAACAAATTGCGTCCATGCATTATAATCCCTTACTCAGTAGACTGTCACATTTGTTACTGACGTATGTACTGTCTAAAATCGACTAAAAAAATCAAAGGCAGTTTTTTTCCCCCAAGATAGTTCAACGTTTTTCTCTGAATTGAAAATGTTAGCACCAAACAACGACGAAGCAATGAAGATGTACTCTCACTTGAATAAAGTATCAAGGTGCGGTTAAAACACGTAAGAATGTGTGTCTCATCATAACATAAAAAATCGTCCGAAAAAAACCAACTCGCTTCAATGAGAACCGCCGATTTTTTATCCGATTGATTTATCGCTAATAAATGAGGAAAACATGTTTTTTCTGTCCCCATGCCTCCGTGTTCATCGAACAGTCCATTTGGGAGAAAGTCACATGCTTCTCGGAACGTGTAAAGAATTTCGCTCGAAAAGTGGCAACGTCGAAGGGTGTAAACAGCAAAAACATACACGTCGAGACGCCGCGTCGCGTGTAGTTGCGGAAGTGTATCAAAACTGGCCGTCGAGTTGAAGTGCAGTTTGCAGGCACTCCCATTTCACCGCGGCGCGCGGCGGCGGAGCAATTGTTTTTCAGCATGACTTAGCATATGAATGGCGATGTTACAGAGGAGGAATACGGTAAATTTGGAACCGGATCAGATAAACTGCTATTTATGCAGTCCGGCGGGCTTCGGGCTTGCCTCCGAAAGGTCTCCGTTTCTTAATCCAGATTGATGGTCAACGAGACTTAATGGAGTTCTTCAAAACTGAATCAGAGCTTATGCAAGCAGGTGAAAGAAGCGAATCCCTGCGACTTGCCGGAGTGCTTTAACTTGTAACTTGTAGTCATAAGCAAATTATGACAAGATTTGTGTGATCCTCCTCTCGAGCGAAATTTCTTCCTTTTGCGTGAAACTCTTTCATTTCGTTACGTCAAAATGT